CCTCCCGAGTGCTGGGATTCAAGGCATGTGCCACCAATGGCCGGCTACGTCTGTGATCCTTACAGGTTATCATGTCACTGCAGTTCCATGCCACCTCTCCCTCAGCAACTAAGAGGGGCACAGGACCAAGGATTCTCCCCAAGCCAGGCTCTGAGTTAAACAGCAGCCTACTCAGTGACAAGCTTAGTTCTGGGTAGTCCTGCATCCCATTACCTGGAACCAGGCTCCCAGTTGGATGTCCTGCAGAGATCCTGCTTATCGGTCCACATTGAAGATACTACAACTTGTCTCCTCATGCACACCATCACCAAAGGAAGCACTCACCCTCTTCCATGTAGCATATGCTAGGTGAATGGATACTTTAATTTATCTTTAATTTTTCTTACCTTTATAAGGCATTTTAATTTTATTCATTCTTATATTAAACATGAAGTTGTGTACTCATTTGATATCTGATAAACCTATGGAGTTTTTTAAAGGTACATTAATCAGGCTATAATTTTAAATATTATAAAATATTTTTAAAATTTATAAAATTAAATTAAAAATTATAAAATTCCATAGCCTGAAACTACTCAATGTGTCTCATTTATATTCTCTCCCACTCCAGCCCCTAACATAAGCCTTAACTCCATAGAGCACCACTTCCCTGCTGGTGGAGGCTGTCCCCTAGGGTACATTTAATAATATTTTGCGCATTTTGGTTGTCATAACAGCAGGTATGTTAAATAGTATTTAGTATGTAGGGAACAGAGATGCCACTGAGCATTCTTCAATACACAAGACAGATCCTACAGCAAAGAACTCTCCAGACCGTATTGATTTTGCTAGGGGAATTTCTCTCTCAATCTCTCAATCTCTCTCTCTCTCTCTCTCTCTCTCTCTCTCTCTCTCTCTCTCTCTCTCTCTCTTTCTCCCTTCCTTTCTTTCATTCTTTCTTTCTTTTTAAAGAAGGGAGGGTTTGTTTTATCTCACAGTTTATAGGTCCTGTCCATCATGATCAGAGAGAAATGTCAGCACTTGGAACAGTTCTCATCATATGACATCCACCACCAGGGAGCAGAGCTTAATGGACACAGGATGCCATCCAGCTCCCTTTCTCCACTTATATAGTCCAGGGTTCCAGGCAAGGAATGGTGCTGCCCACAGTAGGCATGTCTTCCTACTTCCCAGAGACCTAACCTTTATGTGATTCTAGATTCTATCAGGTTGACAATACTATCATGGGTGGCATGTGCTAAACAAAAAAAATCATTTCTGGGAAGCATAGACAGGAATTTTCTTGGGGCTCACTGGACAGCTAGTCTAGTTTTATTGTTGAATTCCAGATAGTAAGAGATGCTATCTCAAAAGGAGGAGTAGGAAGAAGAGGAGGGGGGAGGAGGAGGAGGGAGAGAGAGAGAGAGAGAGAGAGAGAGAGAGAGAGAGAGAGAGAGAGAGAGAGAGAGAGAGAGAGAGAGAGAGACCTGGACCAGTGTGTCATTCTTTAGTGACAAGTTCCTAAGAGAGAGGAAATAAAAGATAAGAACGTTTGGGGCTTGGAGGTCTTATACAAGCAGGTACAGGAGAAAAATGAGGCAAAATCAGCAGAAAACCATCATACAAAGGTACAGAGTTAACAGGAAGCTTAATAGCTTAATCAAGCAATGCACTACAACAGAAACAAAGGGTATCACAAATGTGTCACAGACCAAGCACACAGTGGCCTTGGGACTGTAACTAAAATCTTCTTTGCAGCAGGAAAGGTCAGATTCCCAGAAACTGAAACCTTAACTCCTTCAAGGCCCTGCCTCTAGCCCCAGCCTTGCCTAGTATACTTCTGGACAAGGACCCAGAACTGGTGTTCCCTTTGTCCTTTCACTTGGGCCTCTTGAGAGTGAACCAGTCTAAAAGAGAAACAGAGCTCACACCTTTAATTCCAGCACTAGAGTACCTAAGGAGCTCAGTGCAGTCTCAGAGAACAGTCTAGAATTCTGAGATTTGGTGAACAACAGTGTAGTCTGGAGATGCAATCTGAGGTTTGGTGGATCATCGCTTCTGTCTGAGCATTGGTAGAGGTGAGAACTCTCAAGTAGCCCTAGGTGGCCTTGAACTCACAGAGATCCATTTGCCTCTGTATCCTGAGTCCCGGGATTAACGGTATATGCCACCACTACCAACCTGTATGGCTATGGCTACCTTTGCAGTCCAATCTTCAGTGGCTTAATAGATCACAAACAGTATGTCACCACAATGCAGAGGTCCCATTAAGGGCTTAGAACACCACAGTCTCTTCGTCTCTACATGCTGGCCAGTTGTGGATCTCTACACCATCTACCACAAAAAGAAGCTTCTCTGATGACAGCTGAAAGATGCACTAATCTACGGGCATAAGGATAAGAATTCCGGGAGCAATTCGTTACCGTGTTATCTAGTAGAATAATAAAAATATTAGGTCCCCCCTCAAGGGCCAATAACCTAGGAAGCCATGGAGCTTGACCCCATTAACAGTCCAAGGCATGAGTTCTACATCATGGGACAGACTTTAAATCCAATCAGAAAGTGCTCGATTACTCCCATAACTCTTATACCTCTTTTGCACCAACGCATAAATCTTGTCAGGCCTGTCATTATTGTAGCTCACTACATTCACGGCTAGTTAAGACTGTTGAATACTTTTCTCCCTTGGCAACATAAAAGGATCCCTCTGGCTACAACAGCTAGCCACTAATATGAAGCTTCAAGGGCAAAATATGCTTTATTTCTCCATGTCATCATGGACTGGACTCACGTATGTGGTGTCCTCAACAATAGGGTCTTACCATCAAGTTTTATGTAGCAATCAAGAGCAATGGCAATGTTTATTTGGGTGATCTTGAGAACCCCACTGATCAATAACTCAATAAAAAGTCACCCATACTTGACTCAGGTTACGTGTTAGCCTGTGGTGTCTGACACAGGCATTGTCCCTTAACCCCAGTAACTCCATGTGTGCTAGTATATGTGTAAATATCTCTGTAAGTAGGATTTTATCTGCATTGAAGATTTTGAGGATCTATTCTCCTAGGAAACTATCACTGAGAATTTGTTAAAAATTTAACTACTGTATAAGTCAAATGACATTTTAGATGGTGTTATTTGGAAAACCCAGTATTTGGCTATTATTTTTTAATATGTATTTGCTTATTGATTATTTTTATGCATCTCTCTGTCTCTGACTCTATCTCTCTCTGTGTGTGTGCATTGACTGTGTTTTCTCTACCAATCCATTTATTAATGGGACATCTAGTCTGACAACGCAGCTGCTGTGAATAGTGTCACAGTAACATGAAAATCCACACATCTCTGTGGTATACTGACTTAGATCCCTTTGGGTATATGATCAGGAGCATTATAGGTCACTTCTATTTTTAGGTTTTTAAAACTTCATTTTAGAGACTGAACTCCCTCCCCTGGGATCCATATTCCAGACTACAACTTCAGAAGACTTCAACTTTACTGGAGGACAGGGGGAATCAATTTGCCTCAAGACCCAGATATAACATTCTTGAGCATATACCCAAAGATTGCTCAATCATACCACAAAGACACTTGCTCAACTATGTTCATAGCAGTTTTGTTCAAAATAGCTACAACCTAGAAACAACCTAGATGTTCCTCAACCTAAGAATGGATAAAGAAAATTTGGTACATTTCCACAGTGGAGTATTACTCAGCTGTTAAAAACAATGACATCATGAAATCTGAAGGCAAATGGATGGAACCAGAAAAAAAATCATCCTAACTGAGGTAACCCAGACCCAGAAAGACAAACATGCTGTATACTCACTCATAAGTACATATTAGCTGGTAAATTAAAGGATAACTATGCTACCATCTGCAGACCAAGGTGGGGAGCTAGGTAACAAGGAGGGATGAAGTGGAGGGGAGACCCTCAGATCTCCCTGGGAAGGGGATAAAGAAGAGATCTCATGGGTGGACTAGGGGTTGAGTGGGGATGGGGACATGAGAGAGCAGGACAGGAGATAGGTGGATGGGGAGATATTAAGAGAGACAACAGGAAAGGGGGGTTTCGGGGTCATGTAGAAACAAGGGTACAAGGGAAAGTCCCAGGACTATACAATGATGACCCCAGCTAAAACTTGTAGCAATAGAGGATGTGTAGACTGAAATGGCCATCTCCTGTGACCAAGCAAGACTTCCAGTGAAGGGATTAGGGCACCCACCCAGGCACATAACCTTTGACCTAAAGCCTGCCTTGCCTATGGGATATTCTGGGGTAAAGTTGACACAGAGATTGGAAGAGTGACCAACCAATGAGTGGTCCAGCCTGAGACCCACACCACTCATGAGAATGAGTCCACCCCTGACACTGCCTGGAGTGCCAGGACCCAGAGGCTGGATGGCCCAGAGATCTATATATTGAACCAAACATGATTGGAGGAAAAACGTCAACATAATGATACTTTTTAATATTCTGTTATATTCATAGATCAATTCCTACCCCAGTTGTCATAGAGAGCTTGCATCCAGTAACTGAGGGAAACAGATGGAAATCCACAATCAAACATTAGCCCAAGATCAGGGAATCCTGCTGAAGACAGGGAAGAAGGTGGGGGGACAGTCAAGAACATCATATCAAAATCCCACAGAAACAACTAACAGAGGCTCACAGAGGCTCATAGAGGTTAAACCAACAACCTGGAAGCCTGCATGGGACTGAGCGAGGCCCTCTACCTATATGTGACAGTTGTGGGACTCAGCAGTGGGAGCAGTGGGTGTCCCTAAGACTTTAGCTGGCTTTGGGGAACGTACTCCTCATACTGGGTTGCCTTGCCCAAGTTTAGTAAAAGTGGAGGTTCTTAGTCTTGCTGCAACTTGATAGCTATGTTTTGTTGATATCCATGAAAGACCTGCCCTTTCCTGAACAGGAGAGAAGGAGGAGATTGGGAGGGAGGGCAGAGGAGAGGTGAGAGGAATGGGGGGAGAGGGAGGAAACTGCAGTCAGGATATAAAACAAATAAATTAAAAATAATTTCTTTATTCTTGAATATTTCATACATTTTGAGGAAGATCCATACTGATGTCCACAATGGCTGGGCTAATTTAAAAAGACATATTTCAAACTAAGAGCATTACCCATAAACATATCATTATTAAGTACACTACTTATTTTATAGATTTTATCATGTAAGTTTACAGTATACGGCATGATGCCACAAGATATACATGTAATGGAACAGTAGCCACACAGCAACAGAGTAAGCCAGCATATCTGTATACATCCAGTTTCCCCCTGTGCTCCTGAGTAAGGCAAAACTACCACCGAGATCAAGACGAGAATGGTTTTATCACACCATCGGACTGGTTCCTGTTGCCTTCCTGTGAGTATAGAACACTCTTGTGACCTCTGTCCCTTGATGGTCCAAGATCGCCTTCCCTTGAACTTCAGTAGATAGGCACATGCTTCATGATACTGTGGTCTCCCTCCTTGGCTTAACAAAGTGGCCTTGAGTGCTGCCCATGTTCTTGCATGTAGTTGTTGTTTTATGAAGGAAAATACAACCTGTTTGTCTTTTCTTCTGTTGAGAAATGGAATATTTTAGTTGAGGGAGTGTGCATTTGTGCAGTTCTCTATGGAAATTGTAAGCGATCCAGTCATCAGAGGCACAAGCACTGTAAATGCTCTTGCTGCCCTGATGTGGAGCACCCTTGGTTGGTCTCAGTACCTTGACAAGGGAAAGGCAGGCAAGCTCTCTGAGATTCCTGCTGGAGAAGCAAGCTGTCAGGGCGTGTCTGAAGCTTCATTCTGGATGTGGGGATCCAGGCTGGACTCCCTGGGCACGGGAAACCCAGCAAAGATTGCTGAAAGATTACCAGAGGAAAACACTGAGGAGTTACGTTAAAGCATCACTAAATTCATATGGACTGCACTTTGTGTTCCTGCAAGTTACTCTTAGTGCCTAGTAACATATAAGGAGCCTGGCCCTCAGAAAGGAAGTTTTATAACTTACCTCCTGATGTTATCTGCTCTCTCCCTTTCCATCTTCCCCCTCTTCTCTGTCTTCTACCACCTCTCCCTTTTCCCCTCTCTGCTTTTTTGGTACAGGGTCTGAGGTAATCTAGGCTGGCCTAGAACTCATCACGTGGCCAAGGAGGACTTAAAACTCATGACCCTCCTGTTCTATCTCTGCAATGTGAACCACTACACTGTTTTGTGCGGTTTTGAAAATGGAGCTAGGGGCTTCATGCATGATAAGAAAGCTCAGACAAACACTCCATCAGTCAAGGCCTATCCCCAGCCCCCACAGAAAGGTTTCAATTAGGCACTGCGTAGAAAACATGGCTCTGGTATATGGAATGAAGACATGTATTCAGAAGGGAACCTCCTCTTAGGTTGATGTTTGCAGGAGCTTCTAAGAGAAATGAGTATTTCTCCTAAGAGAAATGAGATGTGTTGTGTGCATTTTCTTCTAAGAAAATTATATCAAGGACATATTTTGATTTGCAAGGGAAAAATATTCACGCTGTTTTCTAACGTAAGAATGTTGAGTAACCCCTGGACATGAGCTATCATTGCTGTCAAGTTTCATTGTTAAGCTCAGCTGCAAGACACACACTTGCTGTAAATTATATTTGGTGCCTCTCAGCAGTTGCTCTCTGCTCCCATTGTACACTCCACCTTTCTTTGGCATTTCCTGTTTCTTTTGTATCATTTCTCACCTTAACTGGGAAGGTGTTAGGATGATCTCGGGTCACTCTGTACACACACACACACACACACACACACACACACACACACGCATGCACGCACACACACATGTAAATGCCTGCTCTGGTTCCTGGTGTGACTTCCTTAACCCACATCCCTAATAACAAAGTGTGTAACTTTGCATTAGCTATGCTGTAATTATAAGAGAACCTGCGGAATAATATATTCAAAGAAATCCCATTTCCCACAGCTAGACATGAGGGTTTTTTTAGCTTCCAATTTTATGGTCTAAACCAGCTCTTTGATTTACACACTTGTAATCACTACTTTCTGCCTGTCAGCATTGTCTGCTAACCCAGGGACACCGGCTTTTTTAGCCAAAGCCATACAAACCTAAGGAGCATGGTGCAAAGAAATAACCATGTTCTCAGTATTGCTCTTTCCCCGCCCTGGAGTCCCCCCTCCTCTTCCTGCCTCTGTCTGTCTCACTCCTCACCTCCTCCTCCTTCTTCTCTTCCTTACCCTCCCTATCTCTCTCACTGATTTTAATTTTTATTGTTATTTCTATTTTCTTTTTGTTATTTAGTGATTTCATGCATGCACATATTGTGTTTTGATCAAACACACCTCCTTTCCCTCCCCATCATTTATTGCATCTGTGTGGAACTGTATTAGTGAATTCAACATGTTTGTGGGTGGCTGCAGAGGCCAGAAGCTGGAGTTACTGGCAGCTGTGAGCTACCCCATATGTGCTGGGAACTGAACTCAGGTCTTCAAGAGGAATAGCACATATTCTTAACCAATGAACATCCTCTCACTGATTTTTATACAATTCACATAAACTCATATAAACTATGAAAAATAAATGCAAGAAAAATCTCAAGACTATTTAATTGTTAGTATATTGCCTAATATGATTCAATGTTATATATTCATATTTTTGCAACATTTGAGAAGTTGGAGATAATCATATAACTTAACTTGTTCTTCAGTCTCAGTGTACACATCATAAGAGAGAAAGACATCTCTCCTCCATAAACATTATAATTATCAGATTCAAGAAATTTAACACTGATAATATGTCATTGTGAATGTAGTCTGTATCTAAATGTTCATTTTTCCAACATCTTCCATGGACCTTCACCCCATCCCAGTCCACTTTCCAATCTATAGCATACACTGCATCGAACTGTGGTATCTCTTCAGTCTGTTTTCATTCTAGAATGTTCTTCAGCCTTCTCTTACCTTTACTGACCATGGCATTTCTGAAGAGCCAGTTATGCTACAGCATGTTCTCCCAACGTACCTAGTTAATGCAACACCTGCCATCGATCTCCACTACTTTCACTTTGCAACCAATAAACAATTTGTACATAGTCCTTATGGACCTGTACCATCCCGAACCTTCAGTCAAATTTGATAGCAACAGCTCAGCCTAACCTCTACTGACTAGTGCTCACGGTATCAGAAGGTTCTCTGAATGCTACACAACTGCATACCCTACCAGCAAGATACTTTTGTGCAATAGTGGCATAAAAGTAATGGAAGTAGCAAACCACTATCTGATTGGATTTAAGGCCTACTCTAGGAGATGGAACCCATCCCTGTCACTACTTGGGTGGCCAACAACTTAAGACTAGATAGGCCATGGACACAGGGGAAAACCCAACACTACCATACTGCTAAAGAAACAACAACAGAATGACTCCTGATGACATTCTACTATACTCATAGATTGGTGCCTTGCTCAGTTGTCATCAGAGAAGCTTCCTCCTGCAGGAGATGGGAACAAATGCAGAGACCCACAACTGAATAATGTGCGGAGAGGGAGAGACCCTGGAACACTTGGTCCTAAGTGGAATATCTCCCTTAAATCCCTCACCTAAGGGTTCAGGAAAATCTGCAAAGAGGAGGCAGAAAGATGTTAAGGGGATAGAAGATACTAAGGAATCATGGCTTTCTAGACACAACAGAACACATATGAATTAACAGAGATGACAGGTCCTGTGCAGGTCAAAACCTGATGGGGCCCCAACACTGCAAAGGGAAAGTTGACAAAAGCCCCTTCCCTAGACCAGAAACTATCTACGTTGACAACTTCTCTCATAGCATTCTGTCTTGGCTTTTTTTAATCTTACAAGTTTTTGCTTATATTTATTTATTATGGCTTCTGATTTTATGTTTTTGTGGAATTTCTGTGTGTGCAACCTGTTTCTATGTGTTTTTCTTTGGCTATTTTTTCTGTTTATTTTTTTGCTATTCTTGATTATTTGTCTTTATTTTACCTTATACTATATTATTTTTTAAATGCCTGTTTATTTTCTCATGAAAGAAAGGAAAAAAGATGTATATTTAGATGAGTGAGGAAATGGGGAGGATCTGAGAGAAGTTGTGAAAGTGGAAACTGTTGACGGAATATATTTTATGAAGATTTAAAAATGAGTCTATTTTCAATTTAAGGAAAAGAGCACTTGCTGTTTTTTAAGAGAACCAGGGTTCTAGGGGATCCAACACATTCTTCTGGACTCTGAAGGCATTAGTCATGTACTTGATGCACATACACACACACAAGCAAATGCATACATACATACATACATACATACATACATATATACATACATACACACACACACACACACACACACACACATACACAAGCTTTTTAAACAAGGAAAAAAGTCATCAATGTATACAACAGAAATACCTCTAATCCCAGTCCTGTAGCACAGCACACATCCTACCTTCTATGCAGTTACTGCTTCATTTTCGAACAGTGATGAAACCTGGATCTCACTGTCTTCAAAATATTTGCTCCTTTGCCGGAGGCTAGGATACACCAAAGCAGGCAGTTTCATGATGATAGGATGTTGCATTATAAAAGGCAACCACTTAACTTGAGTGCAAAACAATGTTTTTAATTCTGTTTTCAGATAAAATTAAGAAGGCATGTATATTTCAAGAGTCTGACAAATTCATACACTGTTATAACCCATAACCTATCAATAGACAGCAGAATTTCTATCATGATATAAATTCCCTTTTGTCACATCTTCCTGTCCATTTCCCGGCACCCTCTTGCCTCTTACTGTAAATGACTTTTACCTACTTCAATGCACCAAAGTAACAGCATCATGCCTTTCTTCTCTGTGTCTGGTTTCTTTCCCCAAGTACAATGTCTAAATGGTTTATCTTCATTGTTACATGTAACCCTTTCCCTAATTATTGCTGAGTAGCTATGTCTCTGTATAAATATGCTACTGTTTGTTCACTTTTCCACTGATAACTGTTTCAGTTTCCGGTTTGAAGCAATTACAAAGTATTGTGTCAGCATCTCCTACAAGTCTTCCTGATTTCCCTTTGTTGTTTATCTGTGAGTGGATACACAAGGTTATCACAAAGCAACTGCAAATTATCTGTCTGCTGTGTTTATACCAAATACTAGGAGTAATATCTAAGGGTCAGTTTCTCTGTGTCCTTGCCAACATTTGATGTGGCAATCTTTGTTAGTTTTAGCCACTCAGATGAGAACAGCTACATGTTACACGTTACCATGAATTTAATGTTTCAGTCCCATCCTGATTGATGACATTGAACATACATTCATATGTTTATTTAGAACTTGTGTTTCTTCTCTTGTAAAAGTGCACTTGAGACACTGATCATTTTCAATTGGGCTATGGCTAGGGTTTTTCACCTTTGTAATGCGGTCTATATTATGCAAGCTGGCCTCAAACTTGCTATGTAACCAATGGCTATTTTAAAGTCCTGATCCTCCTGACTCTACCTCTCAATGCTGGGATTACAGGAGTGTACCATCTTGCCCAACAGGATTGCTTTTTATTTTTTATTATTATTACTGTTTTCTTTAAGTTCCATATGCATTCTGATAAAGTTCCAGGTCATATGTGTGTTTTGAATTTTTTGTGTGTATATACGGGCTTCTTGGCTAGTTTACATAATGGTGATTTTTGATGTGCAAGAATGTTTAAATTGAACTGCAGAGATAGCTTTCAGTACAGCTTATGACTTTCCATAATGCCAGCTCCAGAGGATCTGCTGCCCTCTGACCTCAGGTGGGCAAGTGCTCACATGTGCACTTGTACACACACACACACACACACACATACACACACACACACACACACACACACACACACACAAACGATTTTTAAAAATCTTTTAAAATTACACTGTTTAAGTTTTAGGGCCTTGGGAGAAAGCTTAGGCGGCAGAGTGCTTGCAGTGTAAACATGAGGACTTGAGTTTGAACCATGGCACCAAGTTAAAGCAAGCAAACAAACAGACAAACACAAAATCCGAGTGTGGTGATGTACACTTGTGATCCCAATTCTGGGGAGACTAAGAAAAGCAGTTCCCTGTAATTCCTTAGCCATCTAGCACAGCTTTCTCTGCAACCCTGAGGTACCCACAGAGGTCCCTCTCCTAAAAACAAGGTACACAGCTCCTGAGGCGAAATGCTCAGGGTTAGTTGAGCTCGGGTCTACACATATATGCACAGGCACACACACACATGCACTCACACACACACACATACCACACACACACATATACAACACACATAACACATATACACACCAGGCAAGCACACATAGCACACACATACAAACATGCATGTGAGCACACAGAGAGAATACTGAGTTTTCATGAAAACTAGTATGTCTTTCATTTTTTCTTTCTCCTGTCCCACCTAGAAAATCTTTCTAGCTAAACTGTGTGGAAAGTCACCTATAATTTCTTCTAAATTTTTATATTTTTAATTTTATGCTTTGGCATTTAATTCATCTCAAATTCAAATTGGAGTGTAATATAAAGAGAGATTAATTCATTTTTTGTGATAAACTGTTTTGGTACCTTAGTCTATAAACATGGATAATATAAGCTTGACTCTATTACTGGCTTTTCTAGATTATTTCATTTATTCTGTTCTATTTCACCATATACAAAAAATAAAATATTTGTGTGCATTAACACTTCAGTGAGTGATCTTGCTAAGTTTATTTATTGATTCCACTGGCTGATTTATTGATGCCTTGGGTTTTCTCATAAATCACAGGCAATTTGAAAACAGTGTTTCTTATTTTAGTAGTCTTATTGCTCCTGTCAGGACACTGGAGCAAGGGATGACAAAGTGTGTAGAGCAGGCCACACCTTCATTAGCTGTTGCTTACCTCAAGCTTTTCTGCTCTCTTTAGGTCATCAATGGCATCATCATCATCATGAGTATCATCCTTCCCTCCTAATCTGCACATCCGCCGGTGTCCTCTCCTTGCTCCTGGCACACAACATCAGCCTCAGAAGAGGTGATGAAGATCCTTACTTCTTCCCAAAGCTGACTGTTGTCTGCACTGCAATGGCTTCCCACCTTGTCTAGGCATCTCCTACACATCTCTTCCTTGTCTATTTCCATAAGGGCGAGCTTCACCAGATAGCTGGAAACAGAAGCAAACATCAGACATGAAGTAGCTCCCTAGCATCCCTGCTTATTTACTCACTCACCTGATGGGAAACAGAGAATGGCCTCACACCTTCTCTTTCTCCTGAATATTCCTCAGTTTTGGGTGAGGCATATGTGCGACTAACTAAGGACCGCTAACTAGCTTTTACAGACCTTCACTCTATTAATGTCACCAACAAGCCAGATACAAGTCTCAGTATGCCCTGCCCCTCTGGGCCCGCATCTGTGCCTTTAGGTTGCAGTGGTATCTCTATCACCTCCATATTGCTTCCAAACTCCTTCCACCATGGCAAGCTCCATCATTTGCCTTTTTCTTGACAGGTACACTCATGCCTCCTTCTGTCTTAGCTGGCTCCCATCGTTATATTCCTACTCTGATTACCACCCATCTGCACCCTTTGCCTTCTCTCTCCTTGCTCTCTTCCCCTCCCTCTTCTCAGTGCCTTGTATCATTTATAAAATATGTTTAAGTCACTTCTTTAAAGATAATTATCAAACAAGTCAATAAAACAGATAAGAAAGCAAACCAAACAAGGTTTCTCAATCTCCCTGTCGCAGCATTCTGCTGTAATGGCCCAATAGTAGCCTACAGCAATCTCAGAGTCTCTAATTGCCCATGTCTGTTCAGGTACCTTCTCATACTAACCTTGCTTCTGGCCCTCTACTTCTCTGATGCCCTTCCATTTATATCTTTCCAGGATGCTTTCCCCAGACAGGCTATCTTATTTCCCCTGCTAATGTGCTTGATGCTGGAGAACTACACACTGTAAACTGGTGAACATGATAACTGAAATGTTGAGTGTGCTTTGCACCACAGTATGCATTGTGTGCACTTGAGATTTTATGATTCCCAAGTGTGTTCATGATTTTATTACCATTTCCAGAGCCCCCTGCCTTTCCAGTTCAGATCCCTGGTTCCTATCTAGGCCTGTCTTCCCCTAGGAGTCAGTTCTAGCCCTTTCTTTCTTGCCCTCAATGCATTGTCTTGTAGCTCTACATCAACCCTTTGGCTTCCCCTCTATCTCCAGTTGTCTCTGCTATCCACTGGATCCTTTATTGTCATGTCTAGTGAGCCTTTTACTGGGCTGTTTAGGAAGTGTCTTAAATTCACATGTCTGAACTCTAACCTACTGTCCCTTCCCTGCATCTTCTCCAGTATTCTCTATTTTACTTAATTACCTGTATCATCTTACTATGCTAGATTGCTTTGCATCACTGTGACAAAATGCTTGAGGTCACTGACTTTACAGGAATAAAGGCTTCTTTCAGGTCACAGTTTCAGAAGCTCAGTTCTGATCCCTTTGCCTTATTGCTTTGGGTCTGTGGTGTCTATGCAGCATGGCAGGAGTAGATGAGGCCTGTTCACTTGACAGTAACTGGATAGTAGAGGGTATAGTGAGTGAATGCAGGCGTCAATATCCCCTTGTCATACCTGACTTCTTTTGATTACATGCCCACCTTTTGATGACCTCCTGAAGAGCCTCCCATCATTCCCTGGACTGAAGACCACTGGGTCTTTAGGAGTTATTTGAGAACCAAAATACAGCACTTGATACAAGCTATTGTAAGTCTTTAGTGGAAGAGGCCTGTCTCTGCCAATTCACAGGCCTGAATTGTTGGGCTGTGATCACAGTTGGGGATCAGTCACTGTCTGGTCTCCTGCTGGCCCTTTTCATTGTCTAAGTCTAACAATTGTCTGAGTTGTAACCAGAGTGTCATCTCTAGGTCACAGAGCAAAGTGGAGAAGGAAGAAAACAAAGCTAGAAGGACATAGCATAACACCCCACCTGCCATTGTAGCTCAGAGTTAGAGCACTTGCTTGTCATACATGAGGTTCTTGGTTCAGTGTCAAGTACCATAGAAAAGCAAATCTAACAGCCAGTGTTATTCCTATGCTTCAATCTTCTCTTAACACAAAATGGGATAGAATGGGTCAACCTTAATGGGTCTGTAGCTTTTTAAGAAATCAAAGCAGCATGTAACATAAAAACTTAATAAAGAATTTTTTTGCTTGTCTACTTTATTGAACCAATCAAAAACCTCCTTTGAATCAAAGCTCCTAGGGCCGAGACGTCAGTTGCCAAAGCCTTTCTGATAGATCCCATTTGTTACAATGGTACAATGGAGCAGCTTGCCTATCACGTCTGGGCTTTCTGGGAACTGACAGGTAATTTTCTCACCAGTTAGCCGCTGATTTCTCATACACAACAAATATATAGAAGCATCCATCACACATTGTGAGACTTGACTGTGAGCAGACCAGGAAACTCAATGGCCTGCTCTGATTATCTCTAGAGTCCATAAGTAAGTTCAGATGTCTGCACCTTGAACTTTGTGGAAAGCTGACGCATTATTGGCATTATGTTAGAAAATATTTAGTTATATACAAATATATTTTAAATATCAGAAAAATAAATGCATGATTATAAATAATCATAATCAAGTGCATAAAGTTATCATAATTTCTCTAACCAAAAACAGTAAGTAGTTCTCTACTGGTGTCTATAGGGAATTTATTCTAGGGCACTGTTCTAGTTTGCTTTATGTTACTTTGATAAGACACTTTTCCAAAGCAACTTAGGGAGGGGAGGGGTTGATTTGGATTACACTTCCAGGTCACAGTCCATCATTGAGAAAAGTCAAGGAAAGCAGCTGGAAGCAGCAACCATGAATGAAGGCACCTTGCTTGTTTGTTCTTAGACCCATGTTCAGCCAGCTTCCTTACACAGCCTAGAAACACCTAATAGTGTCACCAATAGTGTCTTTATTAACAGTAAAGGCAATCCCTCAGAAACACGCACAGACAAATCTGAGAAAGATAAGTAGTCAATTGAGATTTTTTTTTACCAGGTGATTCTATGTTGTATCAAGTTGACAGTTAATGCTAACTAGGGCAGACCCCTTGTAGGTGCTAAAATCCTTAGATGTTCAAGTCCTTCTAAGAGTAGCATAATATTTGTGCATAGCCTCTATACATCATCTTGTATATTTGAAGTCACCATTAATATGCAATACAATGTAAATGGTATATAAATAGCTGTTGTTCTACATTGTTTATGAAATAATGACAAAATGAAAGCTTACCAATGCTCTGTATGCATGCAATAGTCTAAAGAATACTTTCACTTATTCTTTGATAAATTTAATAAATCGATACAATGTGTCTTGATCATATCCATCCATCACATCCTTGTCACTCACCCTGGGCCTCTGTCATCACACCTCCTTTTCTCCTTCATGCCTGTCTCTGGTTTTGTTGTTTTGTTTAGGTTTGTTGTTTAGGTTTGATTTTGTAACCCACAGAATACAATTCATAATACATGTATGCACATTATGTGCATGGGTGAGGGGCCATACCTCAGTATGATATGGGAAAGCTACCAGTGGCCACCCTGCCAAAACACAATTTCCCCTTCTAAAATATACCTCAGTTGTCAATAGTCATGGTGGGGCACCATGAGTAACTCTCCTACCCATGTTGGCATGTTGACTGAATTAATCTTGTACATGGAATATTTTTAAAATATTTTATCAGTGGTTCATTGAATTAATGGATGCAGAATACATATATATGGAGAGCAAACTGAATACATAGGGTGTTTATATATTATGTTAACTATAACATATTTAAAATAATGTATTATATTAAAATTATTATGTAAACATTTTTTACATTTATTTGAGAATTTGCTCGTGTTTTTATCATTTGCATTCCTGTTCCCTCTTTCTCCAACCCTATTTACCCACTCTGCCTTGAATTGATGACTTCTTCTATAATCAATTTTTTAATTAATTGTTGTCTTAGGGTTTTATTGCTATGATAAAACAAATATTAATAAACATAGGATTTATATATAATAATTGGACCTTCTGAGTCCAAACAATATTGCCTATATTGTATGTATTTAGGGCTGACTACTTAGGACTGAGGGTTCATCCTTGGAGAAAACTGACTGCCTCCCTCAGCAGCCACTGACTGTCTCTAGGTCTTCATTCACTGGCAGAGCCTTGTGAAATTTTCCTCCAACTGTTACATGTTGATTGCTGTGATCTTTGCCGGTCTTGTGCAGGCAACCATATTGTTGAGAGTTAATTGGAGTAACATCCCCGTCATGCCCAGAAGAAACACTCTCTTTCAGTCTTTCTACCCCCTCTTCAACAATGTTCTCTGAGTTTTATATGTAGGGATTTTCTTATAGATGTCCCATTTGTAGCTGGGCACCTGGGCAACCCACAGTCACTAATTTTAGGCATTTTGACCAGTTGTGAATTTTTGTCACAGCCTCCATCTAAATAAACAGCTATAAAATAAAAACTTCTTGCTGAGGAGTTAAAACTTTACTTATTTACAAGTAAAAGGATTCAGACTTAGAGGGCTGTTGGAAACTATTTACAGAATGGTAGTTGTAACACTTCCTCTAGGGTCTGAGCTCTCCAGCCACAGGTTCTTAGTTAGATTTATAGTATCTAGGAATGAGTTTTCTACTATTGAGTAACCCATGGTTCAATTACAAAGCTATTGATTACCTCAAGACATAAATGCCTCCATTGCATCATTGGGAATGCCTTGCCAGTCCAGAGCTAGGACTTCCCCACCACCACCACCAAGAGGAAGCATCCAGCATTATGGGAGCCAGCCCTCCAGGATGAGACATCCAGCACTGTGAGAGCTAGCCCTGTTGTGGGTGTGCTCACGTACATACTCACACCACAGAAGGAGGCAACCAGGTCAGTATCAGCTTGATTTCCAAAAGTTTATGATGGAAGGGTGTGGATTCTTCAGCAATAGAGTCTCACCTTCATGTCCATGATGAGATATTGACAGTTAGCTGCGGGGAGGGTCACTTTGCTTCAATGGTATACCTACTGGTAAGTAACTCCATACTGGTGCTCATGCAAACACTTCTAATTATACTCAGTGGGTAATAAAAATAAGTACAAATAAAAATAAGTATAAAAGT